GTTTCCTAACGTTTCGCCAGCACCTGTGACCGGCATCTTCAGAGTGGCTCAGATCTTCTGCAGTAAGTATCATTAAGTGGTTTAACAATCATTATGTTTTTAAAATCTCAGATGGCAGCACCTGGCTGATCTTGGAAGCTAAGCAGGGTTGGGCCTATTTAATACTTGGATAGGAGGCTTCCAGGAAATCCCAGAGCTGCAGGCTAAATTGGGAAGCTAGAACTTCTGGAAGAAAATTACTACATGGATGTGTCCATAACATCATGTTATGGACGAGAAGGAGACTATACCTAGATCTTTAAGAGATTAGAGGGCTGCAAGACAATTTCTTTGCTTAAGATCCCAACTGGGGTTGCTAAACAAGGACTACCTGTTTATGCAATGTTGCAGCCTGGTTCTGAAGTTCAGCTCAGTTTGGACTCTTCCAGCCTCATCATTTAAACTCACAATCAGAAGTGTGCAAACAAGTTACACCCTGCAATAAAGTCTCATGTGGACACAACTGATTACTCCTGAGTTCAGAATATATATTCACTTCATACTCCTTGCAGTACAGCTACTAAGACAATCTCTTGATTAAAAAAGTTGACCAGAGTTAGCTCATTTGCACCTTTGCTAATACATCTGACACAAGATATGTTGTTTCTTCTTTGCTCGTATTTCCTTTATGATTACCCACTCTTCCATCAATGTGTCTTCTACAAAATAAGTAAAAATTGGACAGATGGAAGGGACAAGAGAAAATGCTCCCACCCTATCTTACCTTATCTTATCTATATATTTCAGACTATTCCTAGATTTTGCATTCTCTTACTTCACTCTGCCTAACATAATGGTTTAAAGCAGATTGTGCTCCAGGACTTTTATTAACTGTCTAGGTAAAAAGGAATATAACTCTTTTTCTCCATGACATACAAAGATATAGAAGTCTTTCATTATTTGATGGTGATACTGGTAGGCAATAACCAAACAATCTTCCCCAGAACTTTGCTTCCTTCCTTACCTTCTTGTCTCTTGTGATGAGGTAACAGAGGCAGAACCAGCTTCGACAACAGAAAGGGGGCTTTCTCCTCTGGAAAGAAGCAGAAACAATGCCATCCTTTATTGCTCCTCCAGCATCCCTTTGCACTATTAATACCTTGATGACACCTCCTAACACACCAAGGATCCACAGGGGCCACTCTAATTGAGGTGGAGCTTCAGAGCTTATGACCAGGATCCTGCAGTGTGCAAAGAAATATGACTAGGATCCAGTCTTGCCTCCTTCCATGGATACTTTAGCTCTAATGACAGTCTGGACATCTACCTCTAGAACCAAGGGAATGGTTTTCCAGGCTCAAATATGTGACATCTGGAAATGCTGAACTGTCAGCTTCTCTAACCAAGTACATTGCCTTCCCAGAAAGGCATGATCATAATGCCACCTCTTGGGATGTAAATTTTAAAATGTCATTTTTCACCAGTCATCATGGTCTAAGCAAATCTTATCAAATTGCTAAACAGAAATTAAATCCTTCTACCAATCTCACCAAACCTATGTTCCAAATCAAGTAAGAATACAGAGTCTTTCCAGTTCCTCCCAGTGGAAAGTTTTTTTTTTTTATTAACTCTTCACTGCAGGGAGCGTATATTTTTTAACCCAAATACTCCGCAGCAGCTCCATCGTGCTCGTGCCAGTTTACAATATGGAGTAGCAACCTGCTGCATTCGGACGGAAAGACCCGAGACTCCCTGCGCCCTCCTGCAGGGAGTTTCCCTATTGACGAATGCATATTTAAAAGGGAGATGCGGGTCTTACTTCGCCTTTTGTTTTGCTCTGCTCTGCTTTGCTTCAGCGGACCAAGACACAACATCCGGCCTCGGAGACGGATCGCGTTTCAGCTTCTCGAGGGTTCTAATGGATCCCGCCTTTCTCCGCGCCAGCCAGGCCGGGCGCTGCACACCCGGGCATTTACTTTGGGCCGCAGGGGCTTCTTGCCCTTGCGTTTGGGGATGGACGCAAACCCGGGCCCACAGCCCCTTTCCACCCGCTTAGGATTTTCCCCTTTAGTACGTAGTGGGTGACGCTCCTCATACTCCGAATTAGTGCACCCGGAATAGTAAACACCCACTGGCGAGCACATCAAATGGAGCCGAATTCCAGCCACCCCCTGCCACTACCTTGTTCCGAAAGGGGGGAAGGCGGGGCGCCATCATTTCAGTTATCCAGAATGTGTGATTTTGAGTCATTCCGCCAGCAGATTTGCACGTAAGAGGAACAGCTTCTCCCATCTACTGGCTGGTGGCCGTCTCTTCGGGGCCGGGCTGCTGCTCCAATTGCTTTCCTATCTCGGGGAGGGGGACCAGATCTGCATTTCCAGGGGTCTCCATACTGCTAAGGTCTCGAGGGCGCTCTGTCTAACGCTACTGCACAGCGGGGGAGAGGGGGGCAGCGGATTCTTTCCCATCTTTCAGGAGGCATCAACGCCGGGACACACCTTACCACTGGAGGAGGCTCCGTCCGGATTCCACCATGGCCACGAGCAGCCCCACGCGCCCCAACGCGATTTTTTCTACGCGCTGGCCTCGATCTGCCGCTGTCAAGTGAGCGGGAGGCCGGCTCCTGTCCGGGCCCGCCCGAGGATTGGCGGGGCTCGCCACCAATAGAACGCGCAGCCCATTGTGACGTCAGGACGTTGCCCTTTGAACTGGTGAGGTAAGGCAACTCAACACAGACAACAGCTGGTTAAGATCCCACTAGAACTCTCTCGACTGGGCACGCAAAGCCCCACCTGGCGCCGCACGCGGGCATCTCTGCTGCATCACCGTGTCTAAACATTTGCAGTCGGAAGCCGCGATGTCTTTAGAAAAAACCCGATTAAACTGTCTGCACGCTTGTCAAGCTTTTATTAGGTGCCCCCCCCCCCCCAAACTGATGGAATGCGGTCACGGATCTCTGTTTTAGTTTTTCTTCTGAATTTGCTGCCCAGCGCCAAAGCCTGGTGGCTGGACTCCATTAATCCGAAGTAGGAATAGAGAGCAGGGTTTAGAGCATGTTTATAGTACCCCCTACATTCAAACAGCCCTGCAAAGTCTAATATTCTGAATCAAGAGAACGACATTTTCAGGATAGTCTGAAAGAGTCCTTAAACTCTTTCCTTCAGCTTTTATCTTAAGAACATATATAGGGTTGTGTGAAAACAAGATGAAGAGCTAGTTGCCAAGTATATGAGTACAGTAGTATATTGGGCTGCAGAAGTGAGCTAGTGACTCAGCATTTTAGGTTACTACTCTGCTGCTGCGGCGGCAGCTGCTGCTGCTTTTGATGATAGTATTGTCAGGTTCTCAGAGATGTGTCAGAGTTGCCAATCTTGAAATTTTTTAAAAAATGGATATGGAAAATGGGAGCGTGTGCCACAGTAAGACTGAAATCAGCAGTAGAAGGGCTGAGATGTGATGCCCCAGAAAACTGGGGAGGTAGGAGAAAAACCAGTGCCTGGATTCAGACAATCATAAGACAATTCAGTTCTTGAAGGTTTAACATGTTGAACGAATCCAGCTATGGTTCACATGTCAATTGTGGTTTATTCAATCAGCAGTCTGACCTGCATGTTGAGAGAATTGGAAAGCCTCATATAAATGATAGATCCCTCATGATGCACAGTTGTTAGTGCCAGATACATTAATCAATCTGCAATATATACCCTAGCCTTGTTGGCTAGTGCAGCATAATTAGAAATTATCAAGTCTGCTGGACTACTGCCTTTACAATTGTTTTCATTCCAGAATACAATGGAGTATTAACTCCATTATTGTTTTCATTCCTGAGCACAATTAAGTTATCAACTCATTCAACAAATTTATCTTTTCCTGACCTGATGTGTCATATATCAGCAAGGACAATCCTTCCTTGAATTTATATTTTGAATGGAACAGTAATTACACATGTACAGGATCAAGCCCTGTATCACTGACAATTTTTCCATGTACTTAGTAAAAGAATGTGGAGTTTAGCAGCATATAAACTTACATGCCTCTTTTTATTTTTAAAACAATCTCCCTGAAACAGTTATAGGAACAAATTTCATGGCATTCAAGATAAATGTGAGGTAATTTTTATTCTCAGCCTTTAATTATGGTTCTTTGCTAAATGGACTATGGTGTCTCTAACAGGTAGATAAAAAGTAAAAATTCCATGAAGGTGATTGCAACTTCTGGGTTTTTGACAATATGGAAATGGTTTGCTATTGCCTTCTTTTAAGCAGATGGATAAAAGATCAGATTTCCCCATTATAGCACATCAGCCACAATAGAAACCACACTTGGTAGTTTATGCAATCTTTACACAGATGTTTTTTTGTTTTCGGTTTGCATTCACAGTTCTACCTTATGCTTTATAGGGGAGTTTTTTATACACAAGTTCATCTGAAATTACTTATCCTATTTGTTTCTAGAGTGGCTAGATGTACAAAGAAAGAAAGAAAGAATCTGCATTTGCAATAGTGGTGTGGAAGAAATTTAGCAGGCATAATTATCATACTTTATTTCCTTTTCTATCCAGCTACTTAAAAAAGCATAAACTCTGCCCAGTTGTACACCTGGACACAATACTTGCTGTCTGTGATGGTCCATAGACTCTGCACTTACTTGTGAAAAAAAGGTGGAAGGCCAGACTCTAGATTAGAAATTCAGCTAGACTCCTTAATTTCATTGAGTTTTTACTCAGCCTGTTTCCAGTAGGCATATTTTCTGCATCATTTAATTACAGAATTTACATGAAAAAAGGAGGTGACCCTGAATTAAAGACCCCTGCAAAAAAGAGAAGATCATACAGGAAACGAATTCCCTGCTTTCACTACCATATTCTCTGTGGATCTAAAACAACCTTTTTATTTAAAGTATTGGTGGGAAATGTACTTTGGGGTAAATGCAAGAGATGCATTACAGTGGTAAATACAGCATTTCAGCCAAGGGATGATGCCTCTCCTTGTATAAGTTGGGGGGGAGTGTGATTAAAATGCTCTATTAGACAGGCTTTTGGTTCCATCCAGCAGAGCTATTTTTTGTTAGCAAAATTTTCTGGAAACCAGACTCCTCAACTCTTCCCTGATTTAACTTAATTCCCTCTGAACCATTTTTTCTGAGAATTCTTTAGATCTGTGTACTGAGAAATGCTAACTCCTATGTTCTGGGCAAATTACACAGATTAAATTTATACATTCCACTGAGCTTGGGCATTTCCTGTACCTCCTAATTAGAAGGACCTTAGCAGAGGAACATCTAGTGTTCCCCAGGGAATAATGCAATTGTGAAGACCAACAGCCAGATTGTTACCTTTAATGGACACAGGTTGCTCCCTTCCTGCATTCTTGAGTTCAGAGAATGGTGCACATGATAGATTCCCTCTCTCTGCGGGAAGGAACAATCTCAGGAAAGATATACTGCACATCATTAAGGGCAGTGTGGTCTTTCTCTGCTGGGCTCTTCGGTACCTCTGCAATGATTTCTACCTTTGGCCCTTCAGGTGGCTTGTGTTCCTTCTCTTTCTCAATGTTGTCTCCTGCACCTGGACTCTTGGCTTTGATTGCCAATGGAGCAGCAGCCAGTTCCTCACTGGGTCCCAGAATTCTTGTGTGTGTTCGCCGATTGGTACCTCGTCTCTTCTTGGAGCCATGGGCAAGTGCTAAGTACTGCCCCACGTTCTCCATCTCAGACAGACTATAGGCCATGGCCCGATGCAATTGCTTGTCTTCACTGGCAGGGTAGGCAAAAGAGGATCCAGCACTCTGTGGCCGTGGTAGGGCCCAGATGTCTACTGCAGAGCTTAAGACCTCAGGTTGCTCCTGCTGGATAGGTTCTACTGTGGCTGTCAAGTCATTGGTGGGGTCTAAAGGAAAAAAAAACAAAGGGAGGAAAAGAACAGTATCCCTTCATATTCCCTTCAGTTTTATCCTATGTGGTTCAGGAAGCCCTTCTCCCCCTAATACTGCACTCTACAGTACAGTATTAAATGAAAAAAAGGATTTCGTGAACTATATAGGGTTACAGAAGTAGTATTTATATAACAGTGAGAGAAACTGGGATTCCTTTTTAGTATTTATAATTGGAGCAACAAGAGAAGATTTTTTCCAATTACCAAATCAGTAGCCCATCCATTCTTGATCCCGAGGAGGACTCAGACAATGTAAACAAACAATCCTGCTCCCATTGGATCTTTCTATTGAACCAATATGATATGTCTGTTTTCTATAGTACAAACAGAGAATCTAGAGGCTGGGCTTAGAATTCTTCTGATGGGGGGAGTGAATAGCCCCTTCACCAGTTTTTGAATAACAAGCTATTCCCCATCTTAAATACTGTAAAGTATACCTGAGAGAGGTAAGAATGAAGGAGAGGCATGTGAAAACTATGTATAATTAGCTGCATATATTGCTGCAGCCCCAAGATGTTCCCATCCTCTTTTCTAGTATTATTTGAGTAGGTTGGATGGCCTGTCTCTGTTATAGAATATGGACTTTCATGGTAAATCTAATCTACCAGTTTTCTACAGTGTAGTTAGGATATTCTGCAGTGGGACATACACCAGAGCTGTCTCTGGAACCTCCTAGCAGGAGGGCCGCTAGTCCTTACTGGGACAATTTTCTGCAGCACTCTTGCTGATGGATAGTTTGGCCAAGGTATAAGAGTTAAACTTCTAGTGTCTAATGAAAGAAGACCATGTGGCTGCCTCCCAGGAGATTAGCTGTATCAAAAGCACCAAAGGAGCTGTGCTTCTAGTGGAGTTTGCCACAATTCCTTGTGAGGAAAATTTATCCTGTGGTTTTGGGCTAGTTTGATGTATGCCTTAATTCATTTGGAAATCATAATCAGCGAGGCTGTGCCACCCAGGTTATTCTGTCAGAAAATATACCATGAGGCTATGAATACTTCTGCCCTGCTTACAAGATCTTAATAGCTTGTCTGACATCCAGCTTGTGTCATCCTTTCTCTAGCTAGATTTTGGAGTTGGAGAAGGAAGAGAAGAACAACTTGTTGCCACAGTGGAAAACTGGAGTTCACCTCATGAAGTGGGTGGTGCTGTAGAAGTAGTTACGGTGCCCAGCTGGATGATGCAGAACTCCTTCCTTGCAAAGTGTGGTTCTGTTTCTGAAACCCACCTCATGGTGACTAGGAATGCCATTTTCCATATTAGGAGCTCTTTGGATAATTCTCAGAAGGGCTCAAATGGGGCTGGGGTTAGGGCTTGAAGCACCATTTGGTGGTCCCATGATAGATACTGATATAAAATGGGTTTCTTAGGGAGCTATCCCCCCCCCCCCGCTTAGGAATCTCTTGATGTCAGGAAGAACTGGTAGACTCTTGCTGCTTCTTAGTGTTAAGACTGATGAGAGGACTGAAAATTATCTTCAGAGACTGCATGGTTGTGGACTGCAAGCTGAGTCCTCCTGTAAAAAGGCCAGAATTTGGAGGCTGAGGCTGACACCAAGATTTCTCTCTTTTTGACCCATCTGCAAAAGGCTCACCATTCAGTCACATATAAAAATCTAGAAAGCTAAGATGGTCTGTATGGATTCATTGTCACATCCTAAGCAGATGAGGAGGTCCCACAGCTGTAACCAGAGCATTGTCAGACTTCCTTGGTCAGCTAGGTGAGAAGCTCAAAGAATAGAGTTCCAATGACATCAAGGTTCTGATAAGTAGGTTTATTGTAGCAAATCTAATGAAGCCATTATGAAAGAGTTCCAGTGTCTGCTGCGTATTGAATGCAAGCCTTTTTTATAGTGAAATCAAGATTCAAATTCTGCACCTCTTTCTCCTGTTCCCCTTCTTATGGATGTGGGCCTGGTGGTCATATTGTCTGTTGGGAGCTAGGTGTACTGGCCTTTTAAGAGGTTCTGGAGCTTCCTGGGAGTGAGTCATTGCTGTACATAGCTCCAAGAAATTTATTCTGTATTTTGCTTCATCTCTCATCCAGATTCCCTGATCTACTCAGCCTAAGCAAGGTAATTCCCTGCTTTCCCTAAAGGCTGGCATCTGGATGGGTTAGATTGGTGCAGGGGCCACATGATCCTGCCCTTAGAGATGGCTTCTGAGATATACTAATTAAAGGAACCCCTTACCTTCCCTGAGACCATTAAGCACACCTGGAATCTTTGGGTTATTAGGTTTTGAAAAGAGAAAAGTCTCCATTGAAGAAGTATGAACGGAATCTTGCCCATAATTTTGAATGGATGCAGGTGATCATCTGGCTCTAGAGACTATATCATGAGATCCAATAGGTTGGTCCATAGAAATGAAAGGACTAGTTGCTGGATGGTCTCCTTTCTCTCCTTTGGTGGGCAGATCAGAGCTTTCAGAACTGTACCTAGGTATTGTAAGCTATGCTCATCTGTGTTGACCAAGAATTTTATGTCCTAGAGGATCTGTATCATGAACCAGACATCCTCCTTTCGTTGTTTGATTGATGGTGATCAAATCAGTCGGTTGTCCAGGTAGGGTATATGTATATTCCCTGGGATCTGAGGTGGGTTATAATAGCCACCTATTATAACCTATTATAACTCATGAAGATATAACCATTATCTTCATGAGTTCTCTGAGTGACAATAATAGACCAAATGGAAGGTCTATTATTGGAAGGTCAAAGTAGCAAGAACTTTGATACTTGCATCTCAGGAACTTCTTGCATAATGAGTAAATTGGGTAGGTCTAGTAAAACCAGGGTATCCTATTTCTGGAAGCATTCTATGATAGATCTCAAGCTTTCCATCTAGAACCTCTGATACTTGATGTGGCAGGTGACTGATTCAGATGCAGAATGCCATGCCAGGATTTGTCATTCTTAGGACTAATGAAAAATATGGAGTGGGGAATAAGCCTGAAAACCCTTTGCGCTGTGGGATCTGTTTGATTGCCTGTTATGCTCAGGAGGTAATTTATAATCTTCAGGACTAATCAATGACCTGGAATGGGGTGAAGTAATCTCATGTGCGTATGTCAAATCTATTGTGTAATCTACTGAGATGTCCTTAGAACCCATGTATCTAACATGTGGATGTGCAGGTTAGGGAATTTTTCTAGTTCCCTCCCACAAGAAGCCTGAGAAAGTCATTGCTGTTTGTGTCTCCTTTTAATGGGTGGGAGAAGGTGTCCCCATGGGTTGGGGGTGAGGTTGGTGTGGTTTGTTTTGAAGTCTCTGCCCCTTCCAAGAAGGTCTATCTCCTTTGTGATCTGAAGATCTGTTTGGACACAGGATAGGCATACTGTAACCTGATGGCCTGCTGCCCTTTCCTTCATATCTTTTGTTGGTTGGAATAGAGATTTCTTTTTATACTATATCTGTATTAAGATATTGTCTGGGGCTTTTCCAAACAGTTTTCTACCCTTGAATAGGCCTAATATGAGGACTGAATCTGACCCTGAGTCCATGTTCCAGTGCTTCCATTAGAGACCCCTCCTCATGACCACATTGACTACCATACCTCTGTCACATATCTTCCTTGTATGCGAGGTCTTTTCCTTTATTATCCTTTTATTCTGACACCACTAAACCCTTTGAGGGTCTAGAAATTCTTTAAGTCTCTCAGGTAAGTAGGTGGAACTTGGAGAAGATATCAGATAGCACAAATACTTGGTTAACATAGGAACGAAGGAACACATTACATAACTAAAAGAGATAGGTTTTAAAACAGGTTTGTTTATTTTAGAAAACTATCTGTATCTCATCCGTTCTATCCCACCCTGGCTCTAAACCTGCATCTGAAGCAAGTGGGAAGGATACACATACCATTACAGGATGCCCTGACTCTGCTGCAGGAAAGACATGTATCAAGAGAACCTGACTCATGACAATATAATCCAGAAATGTGTAACCTATAGCTTTCAAGTCTATTTGTTGCGCTTCAGTTTGTCCTACTTTTTCAGTATCAACTATTATGGGGAAAATGTGAGGGATGAGCCGTGTGTGTTTGTATCCAGATTCAGGCAGGGATATGAAAGTGTGAGAAATATGATGATCCAGAGGGAGAAAGGAAGGAGGGCATGGAGTGGCATGTGGCCCCAGGGGATGAGAATGCAGCCCACTCCTGGTCTAGTCCCTGCATAGCTATCACCAGATAATGAGATGGGGTGCCCTCTTGTCTCCATGGATTTGCTTGTCTAGAGAGAAGTATGCAACTCCTCTTCCTCCGTTACAAGCATTTGCACCAAACCCCTTTCATTTTCCCTCCTAATACATGTCTGTTCATGGTTACCCCCAAATCAGTTTTATTACCTTGTACTTCTGCCACTTTGAGCTCCCCATCCTCATCAATTTCTACTTTCTCCTGTCCATGCTCAAGAACCCTGCAAAAGAGCCCAGTTTACTCTTTTTAGGAACTGAAACATCGGCCCCAATATATTTTGGCCAAGTACTGTGAGCCCCCTGGCTGTCCATGCAGAAGGGCAATATTGGTGATTTCATCTATAGCTTTTTCTGTCTAAGAACTATCAGCCAATTCTCAGCATTCTTCAGAAGTGTTCTAGAGCTTATTAGTTTGATGTGGCTACAGTAGTTATGTGGCCACAGTCTATATGGTTTTAATGTATTTATAATCACATATAAATGTAATGTTTTAATTCATGTTTATACCTCATACTTATTATATAAATATTCCAAGAACGGATGGAGGGGCTGTAATCTAAATAAATAATTTGACTGTGGGGAAAAAAACATAAGTTCTATTGAGTTGTTTTTAAAGAACATGAAAATCAACAAGGATAAATCTGAACATCTAAAGTCCTCCTGCTGGCTGTTACAGAAAACAGTCCACATCCAGAAATCTTCAAATAAACTAAAAGAAGATAAAAGGTTGAAATGGGAGAATATTCACCTACACAAAAAGCTTCCCTGAATATGCTGATAACTTTTAAATATTTTTTTTAAAACATCCTTTTAAAAAAGGTATAGGAGTAAGCAAGGCAAAAATAATTATCTTTTGGAAGGAAGCAGTAGAACAAATGTCTTACCTGTGGGTAAGAAGTATCTTTGAGCTTCTAATCTTTAGCGTTATTTCTACTACTACTCTTTCTGAAAAGTTACTTATGCTTAGCAGAAATGATTGGCTATCCCAAGAATCACAGGGTCATCCTCATTACCTCACCTCCTGGTGGTTATCCGTTTGCCATTGATATACTTTGTAGAAGTGGAGATGGAGCGGAATCCTATTCCCAATTCAGCACCAGGCCCAAAAGTAGTGTAGAAATCTGAAAAAGGAGGAGGAGGAGGAGGAGGATCAACGTTATTGCTGG